CTTTCAGAGCGTATGCTGGTGCGACGTACTTGACGGGCTTTCCGGTGTCTTTGGTGTAGAAGTAGATGGAGTGGCCGAGAAGATGGCCGTACTCAGAGGATGGGGCGAAGAGCTCGTTGAATTCATCACGCTTTTCGGCGCCGATTCTGAAGGGGGCACCGGCGAGGAAGGAGAGTGTGCCGTCGCCGGTGCAGTCGATGAATTGTTGAGATTGGATGGTGAACTTGAGAGAGGATTGGGAGTTGAATGCGCTGACGGAGCTGATTCGATCACCGTCCTTGTCGCAGCCAACAAGAGCTGTATTGAGAAACAACTGGATATTTGACTCCAATCTCACTTTCTCCAGAAGAATCGTATCAAGAATCAGAGGATTGCCCTCGGGATTTCGATACAAATTCTCGAGTAAAATCTCATCAACAAGACCGCCCTCTCTCGCATAGCGATTGTTATTGAACATGTGCGACGTAGCTCCAAGGATCCATAATCTGACCTCACTGGAAGCATTGCCTCCGAGAACAGGTCTATCCTGGATGAGAATGACTGACACGCCGTTTCTCGCTGCTGCGATGGCAGCGATAGTACCAGCGAAGCCTCCACCACAGACACAGAGATCTGAGTTCAAGGTGCGGAGCTGAAAGTCGCGGCTTTGTGTTGCTGGCTCGCGACGGAGGACAGGGTCGTGGGATATCCTTGCCGGGGCCATGGTAGCGAAGTCTGAGTGCTAACTAACTTGGCTGGCTAGTGAAGTGTTGTAATTTGCGTTCAAGTCAAGCTAGGATGATGATAATTTGTAGATTACATGCTATGAAATAGCCTCTTTTATTACTTGCATTCCCAAAGCCTGGAGATCACCCCGATGCAGCCGCCTGCAATAAGTCGTTAGCCAATCTTACGAGCTACATCAGCGGAACCGCCGTTAGCTGATTGACTTGCCACTATCACTTTTGCGGTGGTTCCGTTGGACAGTCCACTTTTTCCCCGCAACCTGACTTGAGACTCCCATCGGCATCAAGGAGCCGCCTTTGGTCGGCTGTTCCATGGTCAGCTAAAGCCGTTCAACGGAGGAATCGGTCCTCGTGATATTTTCATGAGCCTGATTGATCGCTTGTTGCTGGAATTGGCACGTCAGGCCTGGACATTGTTAGGCGAGCGCCGACGATTTGGCATCCACTAGTCGGAGCTGCAGAGCCCACGTTACTATGAGCGAGACTGGAGAAGATGTCCAAGGTCGACCAATACGGAATGTGACCTTGCGAGTATCGCAAATATTCTCGGCCTGTACTTTCTGCAAAGCTCGGAAGATCAAGGTACGTGAGTTTCAATGAATTCGGTCCAAGACTCATTCCTCGTAGTGCAACGGCGCAACTCCAGCATGTGGTGGCTGCGTCAAGTTTGGCCGCCAGGCAACATGTTCTCTTTCGACGGAATCACCAAACCGTGGACGAGACTACCCAACCTATCTTCGACAGAAGATTGAAGTCGCCCAACAGCGGCTCAGTCAGCTTAATGCTAGACAGAACAATCTTACTTCGCCGTCAGATACCGAGCGGTCCAAAAGGAATGAATCTGCAGAGACCCATCAACGATCTATCATCGATTCACTCATCGCAGATATCGGAGCACTTCCCATAATAGCATGTTCATACCCCTCAGCCGCTGAAGGGCCGACACTATCTTCACTTGTGCTGGCAACTGCAAGCACCAACCAACTCTCATCAGCCCTGCGATTAACCCAAGCCAGTGATGTTGCACCATGTTTACCCAAAGAGTCAACGGCGTTAAGCCTGGCAAAGCACTATTTTGATCAGGTTTACCCACGAATACCTTTCTTCTCTATCCAGGGCTTCTGGGTGCAGTTCGAGCATGTCTTCTCCGGCGTTGATCCTCCTCGCGAACGCGGACAGGATGGCCCACCACAAGATCCAGCGAGTGTTCTTACGCCTAGTCAAGATGATCTTGATCGCTCGTCAATTAGCCACGGATATAGCTATTTCACTGTTCTGCTGGTGCTGGCTATATCTGCTTCGAGCCTATCACGAAGTGCTGATAGTGTCATATCAACGCAAGCACAGAGACTATTTCGCACAGCATTGACGTTCCGCGAATCGGCAATCTTACCAAACACTATCATAGGTGTCCAGTCGATATTATTCTTGATTCAATTCGCTACTCTCAACCCTTCGTTACTCGACGCATGGTATCTTATCGGTGTCGGTATGCGCATGTGCGTTGACCTTGGACTCCATCAAGATCCACAGCCTCTTGATTCTGTCGCCACAAGCCTCTTGGAAACACGACGCCGTCTTTGGTGGAGTATGTACTCTTTCGATCGGTCCATGAGTTTGGGATGCGGCCGGCCCACTGAGATATCAGACTCCGCTATTAACGTGTCCCTGCCCACGTTCAGAATCGAGACAGCAGCAACAGCTGTCGAGGTTCACGGCTATCTGCAGCGATATCGTGCACTGCAGATACAATCCGAGATATACAATCGCTTGAATAAGTCTCCAGGCTCCGGAACAGGCGACGCGCGATCAATTCATGAACAAATCAGCAAGAAGTTGGGCGACTGGAAAGACTCGAGCTCTCAGCTACCGAACAAGACCCTTATCGAAAGTGAATGGTTGATGGGTCGCATGCTTCTTCTTAGACCCTGCAGGTTGTTACCTCAACGGACGCATGATGAGCTTGGTGAACTATGGCAAGCAGCTGTTGGGTTCATCGCGATATATCGCCGATTGGTCGAGTCTAACTCGATATTCTACGTGCAGATTGCCTGCGAGAAGATTTACTGGACTGGCCTTATGGCTTTCTACAGCTACTGGCACCTAAGAACCAGCATAGCTAGAGATACTAATGCCATGCGGCGTCTGGATGTTTGGATGGTCGTCAAGGATGTCATGTTTATCCTTCGAGCATTAAGTGAGCGATGGGACCAGGGCAAACTTCTATGTGGACGATTCGATGACGTGAGCACTCGTGTCCTGGAGCTGTCTGAAAGCGATATGGGAGATGGCATAGCGGTCGTATTGCCAGTTGAATTACAGAATTTAGAGCAGTATACGAGCTTGACTGTCGTTTGGGCGTCGGGTGACAAAGTGGATCAGAGGTGTGAACATGCGCCGGACACAAACGAGCTGCGGCATTTAGTGTCTGAGATGTTATAATTATAAGGGAATAATAAAATCACCGCTGTTCCTACATGCCCGAGAGCGGTAATGTGCTCATGCGGATGTCCAGAAGCAGTAGTGTGACACTCGGAAGGATCCAATGCGTCAGCGGGCTATCATCAGACATCAAAGTGCATTATCCAAAGTTTTATGCATCAAATTGATTCTACTGTGATTCATCAGTGAACTTTCTATCAATTCTTGCCCAATGAGCCTTACCAATCATGACTGTAGCATCATTTCGGCACAACAACCGGCGTTACATGCATGGTATGTGAAGCCGCTTACTCATATCCCTGACAAGACGCCCAAATAGGAATTTGCTGCTCAACCAGTAAAGTCAATTACCGGATGAGCCACTCTGTTGCATTTACAATTCCATGAGTGTCAGCCTTTGATTTGATTGGTCTTTTCAGGCAGTCCTTTTCATGACGACCATATCGGGCCTCATCGACCAAAGAGAAACAGGAAGACCCAAACTCAAGAGTATTATTATGACGCACCAGTAAAGGTGATATGTGATATATGAACACAAAAGGAAGGTAGAAATAGATATTTTGAGTTGAAATCAGCGTCAACGATGCCGAGTTCCGAGTCGTTCCAAGGCATGATGATCCTGAGTTGAACTATGCTTGAGGGGCCCCTTTTGGACTGCTGGTACTAGATCTCAATGTCCAAATCGTATATAAAGGCTAGCTACTTCTCCCGATTCACAAATTTCCATTCCAATTCACCCACTCCGCTTATCTAGCTCAGTTAACTGCAACAAATCCAATCTTCTATCCGAATCTTCGTCACCAAACTCAAGTCAGTATATGCTCAACACTAAGCATCCCCGAACTCTAATTCTTTTCAGCATGCATATCACCGCTATCCTTGCCACTGGTCTCATGGCAGCTAGCAACGTAGCCGCTGGAATCAACTGCAAGGGCAGTGTGCTCTGCGGCCAGGGCACCGAGCCGCTTTCCAACCTCATCAACTATGCCGGTGGCCTCAATGACGACCGTTGGTACCAGAACGGACAGCACATTGTCTGTGGAGGCTCACTCTGTGCCTTTCTTCAAAGCACTGGTGGCCTGCCTGGTCGTGATATTAAGCGCCTCCTCGGAGAACTCCGTAACCATGGCTGCAAGTACTGCGGCAGCGTCCCGGTCTTCTTTCCCGATGACAACAATGATGGAGACCATGGTATTCTGACCGTTAACTACGTCAGCAACCCGAATTGCCAGGGCGTCTGTTAAGATCTCGTCATTGGGCTCTTTCGAGACTATATAAATCTATGACGGAGCCTTGTATCACGCCCTTTATAAGAGGAGCATGTTTGTAAGAGAAATGGGGGCTTTTCTTGAAGAGCCAGGATGATGGAAAAGGGGGTCAGTCGAACACGCGACTGTCTCTCTCACGCTCACTATTGGAATCAGCGGTCCTTACCTTCTAGAGAAGCAAGTTCGAGACAGAATCAAGCGAGCTGTAGCACAATGCAGTATGTAGACAGTTTAGTGGGACCAAAATCATACATTCTTTTAACCATTGTAGCAGTTCAGCTTCAAAGGCGAGGATTCTATTGTACGCATTCCTTCTTCCAGTTGGTATCTCTCAGTTTCATATTTAACGTATGTACAACAAGGTCCCATATTTTCTATCAAGCTAGCAGAAAGTACGTCCTTCTCTCGACTCATCATCAAACTGGATCAAACAAGTCAACAAGACAAATGCTCGCGTTGGATAACATCTCGACTCCTCTGCTCGCTAGATGGGTTGTATCTTAAGTATAACTAAGCTTCCATCATTCCTTAATCTAACGATCTGGTTATATCTTTCTGGTAGGCACTAGACAAGCTCAACCGTCTTACTGTCCTGAACGTTGGCCCAGTATTGTTCATACGGAAGACAAAGCACACCAATTCGCTTATACTGACTGGCAGCTCCAACATGGTCAGTAACCTCCAGGATTAGCGCGGCACCGATCATTCTCTTTTCTTCGAGAGTCCACATTGACGGGAGGAGTTTTGCGACCAAGATGCAAGTGTAACTCCGGTTGATGACTCCCAAGAAGTTGGTATAATCCAAATATGCGATGTGGTCCTCAGGCTTTCGGATACCAAGCGTAGCTTCGCTCTTGATTGTATTTCCTCCCCTATCGTGAGCCTCGGGACCAAAAACGAAATCCAAGTTCAGATCGTAGAGGTTGAACGACTTCACAGGACCGTAAATAGTCACACTCCCCTCGAGTATCTGGCCTGATATCTGAGGCCCGTTGGTCCTAACCGACCACGACTTCACTTGAAGGGTCAAATACTTTTCTTTGAAGTAGGTCATAATTGGTAGAAATATGATCGGATGGATAGGAGAGGCCCAACACCACGAGGGTCGATTTGTTCCACGCAATGAGTCAACTTCAGGCTCTTGCCCTCCCCAGCCTATCCAAAGCAGTCCTTGAGGAATAGAAGACTCCCATATGCCTGCTATGTAATCTTGTGGAAAACGGCTTTGGATTCTTTTCGCGATACCGGAGAGTGCAGGGAGCTTATCTCTATAGAAAGAGAAGTTTGTCCCAGAATAAGCCTCGACAAATTGGTACCATAGCGTTATAAGATCATCTTGCTGCTGATTTTCCAAGTTCCTAAAAATAGATACAAATTCTTCGTTTCTGTAACCATAGAGCTTGGGTTCTGAGCTGTTGGGGTTCGCTTCTGTTGTTTTAAGTTCAGAGCATTCCCACAGCAAACAGCTGGCGCCAAAATGGAGTATTCTTTTTGATAGGACTCGCTCTTGTATGGCCCATCCTCTGGTAAGAAGGGGAACATTCTGAATACTTAGCTCCCATGAAGGGGACGCTGGATGAACTTCAAGCTGTGTAGTGCCACCGGAGATCTTGTTGATCGTGAGCGTCACTGGTTGCGGATCGAATTCAAGTGCGGGCCTGTCGAGGAACAGTCCTTGCTGGGATGATATGGCACCGCTTGCTGCGATCGTCAAGGTGGCGTTTCCATAGTATTGTCCGAACCTCGCCGCCTCATAAGACCAGTCATCTTTGTGCCGCTGGTCATCTGGTCCTTCGCTCTGTAATATGCACAGAGCATCGACCCATAGATACCTATATCCTAACTTTCTCGTAAAGATAATCGCGTCTTGTACGGTCTTTGCAAGATCATCCCATGGCAGATGCTTCGTCATCTTCACCAAATTAGATGCTGTAGTTTTGGCGAAATCGTGACCGGAACCCCATGCATAGCTCAAAGCAAGATACTCGATCTCGAATGAGGAGTTTGTAGTCACTATTTTCGGGGGAACTGCTCCGTCTTTGGAACCAACTTCGATGAGTCTTGTCGGTATTATCTTGGTTGAGTCTAAACTCTTAGGCTGCATACCACATTTTTCATGGCTTGTTGAACAGTTTTCTATCCATCTTTTGGCCAACGCAACAGCCTTCTCAACGCCCTCGGCCGCTGATAAATCTGCGATTGATCTTACATTGCGCGAGGTCATTTCCCCAATGCCTGCTTCCTCTTCTTCGTCCGTAACAAGTGGCAGAGGGTGCCATCGACTGCGGTCTATGTCTGTTCCAATACCGCACCAAACCTTTGGCTCTTTTGGATCTTGTCCCTCAGCTATAACCTTTTTGTAATGACGGAGAACCTTATATGCCGAAAGATGGATAGCCAATGTCTCAGTCCAATTGCATTTTGAAATTTGATAACAAAAGGACTGGTATATGATTTGGCAAAGAGGACAGCCGTTGTGCACTGATTCTTTGAGTTTGTAGATATTCGGTGCGATTGTGCGGCTGGGAATCGACTCTTTAATGTCAATCTCAGCAAAGTCTTTTGCAAATTGCTTGCAGGTATCGCACAAAGTCTCGGTCATTATGCTCAACAGATAGTAAGAATGAAGACTTTGTGTTGAGCAATCAAGGCTGAAATTCGAACTTGACAGTTGAAAAATCCCTCCAAAAAGCCTACCCACGCTAGGTAGCCACGTGATGATGGCTGACACGACATGCCCGCTTACTACCGAACTTGAAGCGCGTAAGGCTGTGCTGTTAGGCAGACTGATAAATGCAATGTCGAGATAGAAAACTGAATTTAGTGAAACAGGCTAGGATGCTAAGTGCTGATTAAGAGAAAAGTGACGTTGTTCGCTCGAGGCTGAGATGCCCTACTGGAGACTAGAGCAAACCACAAACTTGGACTTCAATTCCTAACTAGAGGTAGGCCTCAGATTGCCAATAACGGCTTTCTTGAAAAGGGCACTCTAGTGTCAAGTCTTCTGAGGATTTGCTGTTCGATGGGAAAGAAACCACTGTTGGGCAAATTTGACTGCTTGAGGTAGCGAGAACAGATGGCAATTTGCTGCACCAATTTGACCCTTCGCCACACTATTTTGCTCAACGAAATCCTTCCCCACTTCCAAAAAGTCTTCCTCGTTGACACTGACGTCTGATACAGTCGCCCATTCTCTAGCTCCGTTGACTGACACCGCGAATGAGATATCAGCCTTTGGTGAGTTTACTCTGTACTCTGCAAGATGAAAGCAGGTACAGTTATCAAATCCAACACCAATAAGTAAGACCTTGGCATTCAGCTCTTCCAAACGAGCCAGTGGGCTCTTTTCTCCCAGCATACTGTCCAGATCATGTCCGTCTGTGATAAACTTCGCCTTGGCACCAATTGCAGCAAATGAGGTGTGAGGATGCGTACTTCTCACTGCACCTGGCCATGTTCTGACTGTCTCAGCCAATACACCCATGTTTTCACTTCGAGTGGTTTTGGGGTTGAACGCAGGTCTGGTATCGCGGATAGTCTGCCACCATTCTTCAGGGACTGGTGGATTAACCCACTTCGACGGGTCTGAGTTGCTGCTAGTGTGCGTTGGAACAACGAGAGTCCCTTCGAGTGTAAGGATGTCGAGAAGAGCTTGGGCAAGAGCTTCAGCTCCGCCGTTGATCCATCCTATGCTCTTAAGGGAGCTGTGGACCAGGACTGTATCTTGTGGTTTCAGGCCGAGGTTTTGGAGGTCCCGAGTAAGAGATTGCCTGGTGCATAAAGGACCGGTAAGAGTAGGGGGCGTCATAGTGAACAGAGAGGTGAGGAAACTGGCCAGGTTCGTTCAGTAAATAGGTAACTGAAGACCAACTTATATGAATGTGTACGCTAGCCTCTTCGCGCTTCCCCACCCACTTAACGCCTCTGGCTAAATCGTTCACCGTCTGAGTCACCATTACAAAATGCCTGTGTGAAACAGCAAGACAAAGCAACTTCTGACTGTGACATTAATTTCCATTAAGAATCTCATATGCCTATATTTCTTCTGAATAAAATCCTAGCTGCAATTGAGACTAACTGATCATTCTAGAGTGGGAGCAAGCCAAGCAACAGAAAAGATGGGAATCGAACCACGGATCCAAAGGCCGAGGTTTAATCTCAATATGGCTAGTGCCGGATGATTCTGAAAGCCCGTATCCGTAGATGGGGAACTGTCTTTGGAGCGTATCCACTTCTTGGGTGAGCTCTAGGGTAGCTGATCTTCAAGTACATCATCATCTCTTATACAACACTGGATTAGAAATTCCGCTAAAGCTTCGTCCAGGAGCTTGTAATAGTTTATGGCCATCTTTTTTGCTCTGAGAGTGAGACTACGTGACATCTCTGGAAGTGGTGGAATATATACCAACTCCATTATCTATATTTGTTGCTAGAGACCAAAACAGAATAAGTTTAGAAGACCTAAAAATCAAGATACTGTAATGATCACGAAATATGTTAAACTGGAAATAGCAGAGTTTCGGTCAGTGACGCTATGATCAATTGGTTTCGTAGCAATTGCAACGTCGCAATGAAACATTTCCATTGCCAAGCCATTTCGTGACGCGCATTGAAGACAGAACCTCGTATTGAAATGACGATCATCCGAGTTCCGTTGCGCCTATACTCGCCTGAAATGACTTTCAATGCAAAGCAAATGTTATCGATAACTCGGCCGAGAGACATTGTCGACGTCATTGCGTTCCTGTCAAAGCGTCTTCTCCATGACATCATTTGAACACTCTAGAACCTCGGCCCAAGATTTCTTCACCTAAAAGGGTTAAGCAACGAGGGATAAAAATAGTAGCTATTTATATCACAGGACCCTGAATCTTGCGACTTTCTAGGCCTGGGCCCTTCTGGACGCAAATCGAGGCTAGATATTGAAGCGCTGTGTTCAATTGAGACATGACCATAGAAAATTAGCCTGAATAAGGCGATGATCTAGCCGGAGGGCCATGCATGCGAAATGCCGAGTTCCGGACGGCACGTAGAATACGAGATTCGGGGATCGTGACCCTCAAATTCCCCACAAACAGCAAGACTCAAGGGCGGATTTGTGAGGGATCGGCGAATGAGGCGATCGACATGCGCTCCAGCATTTTCTGGGGACAATCGCAATACAAAAAGGGAGGGCTTCCTCAATGGAAGTTCATCCTTCATCTCAACAACAACTCAACCTCACTACCATTCAATACTACAATTCCTCTCTCAACCTAAACAAACCACCAACCTTTTCTTCAACCACCAAAATGAAGTTCTTCACCACCGCCCTTCTCTCCGCTGCCGCCGTCTCGGGCTACGCCGTCTACGAGGTCAAGGACTTCACCGCCAGCTGCATCCCTCACAGCACCTTCTGCGAGTCAGTATTATCCTTCTATTTATCATAAGCAATTTCTAACATAATGTTTCAGCTATGAGTTCAAGGTGATCCAGCCCGGAACCATGGAGACCTGGAAGAACCCCGTCCACTGCTCTGCTCACGTCCAGTCCGCCAACTATCTCCTCCCTGATGTCAAGAACGCCAAGTGCGGCGATGACTCTTCTCGCACCTTCTCCGTCAAGCGCAGCAAGAAGGGCTTGACCTTCACCATCTCCCAGCCCGTCAGCCCCATCAGCGACACTGTTGGAAAGCACTTCATTCCCAACAAGCAGCTCTGGCAGTCCAAGGAGCCTAATGCTGAGATCCAGCGCTACAAGGGCCCCAAGGACTTCAAGCTCAACTACGTTGAGTAATCGGGGATTTGGATCTTGTTAATTTGGGAACCACTTCATTTTCTTTTTGAAAGACGCAGGCGTGTTGATTGTATTTGAACTATATTTTAGACTTGACTATTAGGTATATATCTAAACACACACAAAATTTACCTTCTCACTCTCACTGCATGGGTTCGATTAACGGATCATCTAAAATTCGTTCAGCCGTTCATTACATATACGTTTTTGACCACCTACAGCGCATGGGAGAGTTCACCAGGATAGATCTTATCCTTGATCGACAAATGTATTTTACGATTATCAGCACCTCATAAAACAAAAGCCGGAGGTGTAGTTGCCACGCGTCCTTCGGGGGCACTCGCGGCACTACCAGGAGTCAACTCCTTCAATAACTTGATCCAATTATTGTTCAATACCTTAATCCATGCTATTCTCAACAATAAAATCCCAGGAACTTTCTTCGGGATAGTTGATGCCGCATACTTCCCACATGGCTAAACCTTGTCATGCCGGGTTCGTGGCATTGTCGGGGTAGGATCCTGTACTTCCGGTGATGCCGAAGCTGATGGTCTGCCGGCGCTTGTCTGTGACACTGTTCAGGCTATTGAGAGTATTGTTGAACTTTGTAGTATCTTGGATGTATTTTATTCATTGTCTTCTTGGCGAGCTATGTGAGCAGATACATGGAAAGAATACCGGCGAAGGTAAGAGACGATCGTTTGTCTTTGTTTTTACATTATCTCAAACCTGGAACGGGGATTCCAACTACCATGCTCTAACGTTGTAACCTTGAACCTGACTTCAAGGGTCTTCCATGTTGGGTGAGAGATGTAACGAAATTCTTGAGCTCGGCATTGGTGAGATTTAGATATTGGAGTTGCCGACGACAAAGATAATGTTATGAAGAGCCAATGACTTGTATACTGAAGATTCAGGATATCTATCATCTATTGTGCCCGAGTAAAATGGGAACTCTTGACTTCGTCTATGGCCAGACCCCCTGATTCAGAGCAGCTACCAGCTTCCTCAGGTCACTTCGTTTAGGCGTTTTCGGGGGTTCATTTCACGTCAAGAAAAATCAAGGTCTTAGTTTGAGTGAATCCAGGTCCTTCTCCATAAACGAATCAACTTTGCTAGTGTGACATTTGCTTTGGCTGAGATCTTAAAGAATAACCTTGTAGCTGATTGTCTAGTTCTTGCATGATACCACCATCTTCATCACAGTAGTCTCCAGTTCATCATTCATGCCATCTTTACCACCTCGCTTTATCAGGGCCGGTGAAATGACGAACCTAACCAGCCGCTGAGCCTGGGCCTTTTCATCAGAAGAAAGCCGTTCTGCTCGATCCAAGTTCATAAAGTCACCGTCAAAAACCAACGCTCCCTCGTGATGACTCTTGTATGAATACTTCCACTCCCATCTTGCACCCTGTTGACAGAACTTTTTGTCCAACTCAATGGCGCCCTGCAGGATATCATCCAGCTGCTCAGCGATACTACCACTAGAATTGATTGATAACCCGAGAGTTTCAATGATAAGCAAAGTGACATTGTTCTTCATGCGCTCGAGATAGAGTTTGTTCTGATCCTTCTCATCGTCCCCTCGAGAATTGAGGGCTTCAAAGAATAACTGGGTTGTCTTCCAAGTCCACAACTGGACGTCAAAGAGTCTAGGCGAGCCTAGTTGACTAGCTATTCCCCTGCGTTAGCATCAAGTTCTCAATCTTTTGATACCAGTACACTTACGTGTGAAAAACAACTGGAGGGATCACACACGAGGAGCGGCGGTCCCACCAGCCCAGTGGAAGTGCCCAAAGACTTCAGTAGCCAGTACCTTCCAAATGAAGGCCTCGACTACTTGCGGACGCCGATCTTCGTCTTGCAGTAGCAGTCGGTAGTCTGAGCTCTCTGGGGTGATCGACTGGAGGTGCCGCAGATACTTGTGATCCCGTTGACGGGCTCTCCAGAGGTACGCTCTCGGGCCATTGCTCGCCGAGATTAGAAATGTTGTACTTTAATTGCTTCACAAAGCCCTTGGCTTCACCGTTGGTCAAGCGGCCAGCTGGCTGGAGTTTGGTCCGAAGATCGTTTAGCACTTCAACTAACTGAATGAGGTGGCTTAACAGGTGTATAAAATTAGATGCTAGAGAGTCAACAACTACAACAGTAAATTCTTGTGCGCACTTTAGTAACCAGATACAGTGATGCAGACACTATGCATTATATCCAGGTAGAGACCGGTTAGTGGCGTTAGGCGGGGACGTTTATTGGAGATTCGGTCGTATTCAGGACTCGTATTCAGGAATTAGTTTTCAGCTAAATAAACCTTCGTTGAATGAGTCACAAATGGTTTAGAACACAAAGGGCTAACAAGAGCTAGCTCCAACGGACGATGCCGTCGGGACTCGGCTAAACCGCAAATCCGGGTCAAGGTTATAATATAAGTCGTGTTGCAAGCTGTCCTTGACTCTTGATCATTTTCCTACATCCGACCACATCACGATGAGTATCTCTGAAACGTATAGTATCCGGGTTTCAAGGTTTGTTTTATTTCTTCCAACATCCTTTTCCCTTTCAGTTGCCTGGGACATACTGACGCGCTATAGCGGCCTCCATGAGGTGAATGGCATGCATGCTGCGCATAACTTAAACAAGAATCTAGTTTTGGCCCCTACCCACGTCGGGACTCTGACCTTTTGCCTACAATGTAAAACAAATGAAACGTCCCTCGTACTGAAGGACGACTTCATGTCAGACTTTTTATCTGTCATCGGTCCAAGCGGCCGAGGGCCGTATGAGTTGCAGACCTCGCCTGAGACTAGCCCACTTGGCATTGGTTCAATGGTCTATCATGATTTTTCGATGAAGGCTCTTGGTGATGGGACTAGGGGCCGCACTTTGCGAATTGCCGACGAGGACATAAATGACGGACACTGGATGGCATGGAGAGACCCAGAAGGCAATGGCGAATGGTCAGTTTATTGGGTGACGCCTTTACCCTTCAACATGGACGATTTGCCTGGAGCCGTCCCTATCGATTTACTTCTTGATATCAAGGCCTAAATTCGCAGGGGGTCGACTCTATTCCCATTTTTTCCTCCATCGAAACGGAGGAATAAATACTCTAGGATTCTTTTGTTTAATTTTATGAAACACGTTCTTGCGTTGAAGTATTTCACATATCTAAGGCCAGTAAGAAGATTATGATGGCGAGGCAAAACGGGCGACACCAGCCGTGAACTGGCTTTAAAGTCCTAATAGTCACTCAACTATGCAAGTATGATTCTATCATGTCCTTGATTTGCGAATGTATTTATTGTAACCCCCCAATACTATCACAGTCCAAGTCCCATAGCATCGTGGATAAATCAACTTGCTTCAGTAGCACACATCGCCATAGTGGCACTCTACAGCAGCTCCTTGGCTGGGATACGTGCTCTTTCGGTAGCCCATCTCTATCACCCAGTCCCAGCGTTGGTTTCGGTATGTTCAACCGCCTTCAAAGATACACTTTCGCTTCAGTTGCTGACGGGGACACCAAACGACGGCGAGTCTGCCTTTCGGGGCCGTTCAACGACATTTTTGAATGATATCCTCTGTCTCGTGGCTTCATCTCCATCGTCGCTGAGGCCATCATACGAAATTCTGGCAATACCTAGTTCATCAAGGATCTCGTCGAGAGATGTCGCCTCGCTGGCCAAGATGGCAGTCAGTGCATTAACCATCTCAATGTCAACGTGAGGTCGGTCGCTACTTTCGGGATCCTGCATGATCCATGTTGCGAACTTTCTGGGCAATACTGAGCGGAAGCAGACATCCTGTGATGCGGGATCCATGGGAACATAGATCCTGAGTCTCCCATCAGGTTCTGCAATATGTGCCTTAGATATCTGACTCTCCGATATAAAGGTCTCGCCATTCTGTTGTAGAATGAAGAAGGTATTTATCCTCCATACTTGTACACATTCAATCTCGCATAGATGCTTGTGAAAGGCTTTGATCCCAGAGCGACAGTACGGGCTATCGAAATTCGCCGCAACCCTAAAGGTATTAATGGTTTTGTTTCTATCATGAGTAACAAAGGTCTTACCGAGTGATATAGCGGGCCATGGCTTTCAAGTTTCGCTTCTTATAAGGAATTGGAACTGCAGGTGCTTCGAAGAGACCTTTCTCTGTAGCAAAGACCGTCGCGTCCTCACGGACACATTTAGACAAATAGCGACTCTCAAGTTTTAGCCATCCAAAGAAAGGCTTTAGACGATAGAACTCCCGAAGGTTGAAGTCAAGAAGACTGATATGCCTCTCGAAAATGGTCCATAAAATGTCATTATCTCGAATGGCAAAATCCTTTTCTAGAGATCTGAGGGAGACTCTTCCATCAGGATCTCTGACAGGAAATATTTCAGCATTTCTAACAGGTTGCGGATCCAGGAACACTGGTTCGCTTCGTAGAAAGTCATTCAAGATGAAAATGGCCTCTTTCATCTGCTGTGGCTTGCATTTGGGAGAATTGATCAGGCGGTCGTAAAGTATTCGTAGTGATAAAGACTTAATTCCAAGCTTATCGACGAAGAAATTACGAATTGATTCATATGTATTGTCGAGGGTTCCCATGCCGCATAGGTCCGTGTTGCTAGACCATAGGACTTCAGTTGATGTGTGCCATCCTGTGTATGGGCCGTCGGGGATGAAGATAAGCGGTGAGCTCTCAAATAAAGTCCTACTCTGATATCAGAGTCACAGGTCGAATTAAGCTGTGACAAAGTGGTACGTACCTTATGTCTTGAGACGAGGGAATATTCGTGTTCAAGAATTCATAGATCCGGAGAATTCTCGTAGGATCCTCATCATTGCTAATGCGTAGCTCATTCAACTCCTCCACCATATGCTCAAGACTAGCATTCTGTATACCGAGTGTTTTGATAAAAATGTTCTGGAGAGCACTTCCAACTTGAACGATTGAGCCTTGTAACTCGTAACAGGACTTGAGCGAGTACCTTGTGACCATGTCTGGTGGTGCGTCCCACAAACAAATCGAAGAACTCGTCCACTCAAGTTCTTCGCCATTGAAGTAGACGATGCCGGATTCATCGAAAAAGTTCCTGGTTTTAGTTTCAGCGCTAATTAAATTCAACAACATAGGACATCTTACTTGAGCCTCTCTTTGCTGCTCGTCATCTCTTCGGAATCAGTGAGTTTGCCATATATAGAGACGTATAAATCCAGGACTTTCTGAAGTTGACCAATAGGATCCTTCACAGGATCTGAGCGACAGATTGAGCGCAAGATCTCGAGACGAAAATCGAGATTGTCTTCTTTACCAACAAGACGATGCTCAGATAGGAAATTCCACTTTGTGCTGATGCCTCCATTATCGTCTTCAATGTATCTGAGAAAAGGGAACTGTCCGGGTTGTTCCATGTAGGACTCAACTATATCTGTGAGAGTTTTGAGAGGAAGCCAAGTATCTTGTAGCTCAATCGTGAATTCAACATCGCAAAGATCACTTGCAGACAGTTGTCGAATCTCGGACTTGATAGCAGACTCGCTTGATAACTCCACTTCACCTTTAGACAGAAGATATTCAAGAAGGTCCAGAAGCTTTTCTGGATTTTGACTTACGATATGAAGCAAATCAGACGATAATTTTCCTGTCTCATCTGACTTGAGGCAGATGTCTTCCCTCAAACCGACGTAGTCGCAAAGCCATCTCTTCCAACTGATGCGTGAAGAGTTGCCCTGAGTTGGCACATAGCTCAGAATTTCAGGATGTAAGAAAGAGAAAGAAAGAGAAGATTCTGACTTTGCAGGCCCCAGAAGGTTTTCTGGACTGAACAGGTGACCCTTGCCTGGTAGATAAATTGCCTTAGTGTTAGATTGTGGCCTCGCAACGGTTGAGTCTGTTGTGAGAACGATAACTTCATCGTAACGGTCCCGCGTCCAGCCGCTGGCTTCATGCGTGAGGTAGAGATATTGCAGACAGTCGTTGACAAGTTTGAGAGGGATAGTATCCGATGCGACCAGGCTATTGAGAACTGACTTCCTGGCAATGTCGAGGGAGGGCTCAGTAACCCCAAGATATTTGAATAGAGTATACCGATCAGGATCTCGAGTAGCTGAGGGCGCTACTATCCTCAAATCGACGGACTCGGGAATGGAAATATCTCCAGTGTGTGGAAAGAAAATCGGACCGAATAGCATAGACGCCCATGCTCCATTTTTCAGAGGCACAACTGCTTCGGACTTGACCCTACAATCGTTAAAGGTTGAGGTTTTCGAAAACTGGAGAAGGAATCGCGCCATTCTTGCATGCCACTCTTCAGTAGTGTCTTTCTGATGCATCTTGGGTTTCTGATTTCTCATATCACACTTCCAAAGCCTCAAAAGAGTCTCGTCCTCAATGATCTTTGCACCGTGCTCTTCGAAGACCTGCACGACGCGTTCAGGATAGGCCGGTGACAAAAGCAAGTTTTCTGCAGCAAGTGCAAGTAACGGCTGCCCTTTCTCGTCTTTGAAGTAGTCAGGTATGAGTCTTATCTCGTTCATGCATCGCAAGACTGGTTGATTATGGACCTTCACCAAGAGGTTCCTCTGAACCATATCTCGGATTTCTCGGCTGAGTGGCATCTCGTGACCGATTGGTGGGAGGAATAATGGCCATTCATAACAAAGATTCGGGAGGTTGCGAAACTCAGAAATGGCTTGCAAGAATGCTGCTGTGACCCAAATATGAATTGAGTTGTTCATTGGCGACGAAGACTCAAAATTCTGTTGTTGGCAGGTGACCTCAAAGTCACCGTCGATCAGAAACTGATGCACATAGTTAGAGCCCTGCCTATAAATCCACTTTGCAGGGAACATTTTCTTACGCTGTAATCTGAATTCCCGCAAGCCAAAACGTTGGAGATATCTTTCTTTCCAGTGCCTATTGAAGGTTTCCCTTTCTCGGTCAGAGGGAATGCCAACGTAACATCCCTTCCGCCGCCGGTCTGCTGGCTCGTTACGTGATACCATTGGCTTTCTTCCCGTGCTTCACCCTGGCCTTTGATGGCACTTTTGAGTGATAGACGGTTGGGTCCCCAAAATAGTTTCCGGAATTGTTTTGAGTGACGGAGCTCACCGCCTCTGTCATAGAACTCAACAGTCATGCGCCAGAGATGTTTGATAAATAGTAAACATTCAGCTTTTAAGTTCTCAAACTGGGCCAGAATAACGTGCTTGAGTCGTGCGACATCTTCCTCGGTGCCATAGTCGTGAAAGTAAATGACCATGTGCGTTCGCTCATCTGGTAATGGGACAGATGGTGATACCCAAGTAGGCCTTATTTTCCCCTCACTGGTAGTGAGACGCAAGTCCAGTGAGAAATTCCCTGAGTGGATATAAATCTTAGCTGTTGATTTGATGACAGAATTGAGGCCAGGTCTGCTAGTGCTTTGCCTTACTGTCGTAAAAGGCCTGCATAAATGTTCCAAATCGCTTTTTGTAAAGCCATCGTCATTAAACTCAACGTCAATGTGACTGGGGTGTATCTTGAAAGAGACGTATGGATGTTCCTTGCGATCGATAGCATTAATAAAAAACCTCGCGTCGATGTACAGAAGCAGCTCACGCAAGAGCTTTCTGCCACTTTCGTAGACGTTCTCTTCTACCCTATTACCTCATCAGTACGAAGGCGGCTACACGAATGACTGTGCTCATACTTGTATTCTCCAGTAAACTCCCGTATAAGTCTCTCTGCCTCTTGCTGGCTGGCCATGGCGAGTGCGTGATAATAAGGATCCTTATTCCTCGTTGTGTGAGATTTACTGCAATGGATTGGCATTTTAATAGAGAGGCGCGTAAATGAAAAGATGAAGAAAATTGTGGTCGTTATTGACGGTTTGCTTCGGAAGGTTCTCCTTAATGAGCGTTAACATGCATGTTGGTCACGACATCCTTGTCTGTTAGTTTCTGTCGCATTACATTGCGCTAGTTTGACGGCGCTTCGGCCAAAAATGACTGTGATGCAGTGCTTGTCGAGGCGCAAGTTAAGGAACTTGTTTATTAACCACCAAAGATACTCATCCTCTTTGGATGATAAAATGAAAGACTCTGCTCTTCTCCTTTGTTCTCCCAAACTTCTCTAGTTTTACTCATTTCCATCATTATCAACAGATCATATTGAGTTTTGTGCTTCATAATTCCGATCTCCCGTGTCCATGCAGCCGCGCGCTTAGTAGATACCCTTCATTCGGCGATTCGAGAAATGCTGAGCAGCTGAACTGCAGACGATATTTAACCAACAAGAACACCATTATTTGTTCAACATTCAGATTAATAGACCCCTGTGACCTCCTAGTGACCCTCTGTTCCTCAAACGCCGTTCGATTCGTTGAACTCTCCCAGCGGCTGCACCTTTTTGACAACCCTTGCAGGAGATCCCACAGCCACGCTCCAGGCGGGTACATCGCGCGTCACGATTGAGCCGGCGCCTATTGTACATCCCTCCCCAATCGTCACGCCAGGCAAAATAGTAACGCCGCCCCCAATCCAGCAGTCATCGCCAATATTGATAGGGTACGCATATTCGATGCAGGCCCTTCGACTTGCGACCTCCGTTTCATGTGTCGCCGTCGAGATCATAACGTTTGGACCAATCATAACCCTATCGCCAATCGTAACAATGGCCGAATCCAAGACGGTCAGGTTGAAGTTGGCGTAGAATCTCTTTCCGACTGACATGTTGGGGCCATAGTCGACTTTAAAAGGTGGCTCGATAAAGACTTCGTCATCCTCCACATGCCCGAGAAATGATTTGAGCATTTCAGCTCGTCTTTTTGTGATGTTCTCGATGTTGAAGTCGTCGCCTTCGGGGAACCAGGTGTTGTATTCGTTCATGGCCTTTCGAGCCGCGAGACGAGCATTTGTGAGCTTGGGGATAAGTGAATCGTATCTGCAATAGGTGTCAGCAAGTCTTAAGTGCTCAAATGAACTAGATGTCTCGACTGACAGCATGCCTGAGATCATTCTCTCATATTGTTCACAGTGGGGAACATTTGCCAGCTTGGATGCCTTCTCCAACTCGGCCTGGTTCTTCTCTTGCGCCGCCATATTATATACAGTGTCGCTGATAAATAGATAAATATGAGATTATAGAAAAGAAGTCCGTTTTATCATATGATTCATCGTGAAACAACTGTAGAGGCTCATGTCGTCTTTTATTCATATCCGCCACTTACCAGGTAATCCTCCCCAAAAATGAAGCTATTCCGTAAATAGAAGTACTCCCAACCGCCAAGTCCGATTATATCCCCGATGCCGACTCCGACTAACACAGCGGAGCACTAGTGGAACATCGGCCCGTCAAAAGAAGAGGTATGCATGCTGAGAGCGAAGAAGCTCGGAACAAGTCTAGAAAAAAGCTCGAATCAATGAGAACTAAAAGAAAGAAAGCGGCGAACTTACGAATTCCATCCAGGGAACGTTTGACCAGCCCCGAGGATTCGTCCTTCTCTCGTCCCAGACCTTCGTCAATAACCCGGTCATGGCGGGGTGCTGGAAGCCCGTAGAGTGCTTGATCTCGTTGATGCACCAGCTTGCGTAGTGTATCTGATGCGGCGAGCATGTGTCGGCTCCAGCCAGAAATAGAGGAAATAAGAGGCGCTTGTAAAATACGCTGTCTCTCGGTATCGTAGCACAGACATCAAGAACAGCAGAGACAGAAGCTTTTATCTGAGGGTCGTCGCATGAGATTGCGAAGGCGTCGGGAAATCTCATCACGCGGAGCAAGCATGCATGCTTGTATGCCTCGGCAAGGTGTCGCCATTCCTGGTGGTTGGTGGGATACACGGCTTGATCGGGATCCCAGCCGCGGAAGAACTTCTCAGCTCCACCGAGTAATTGCTCAAACTGTTCGACCGGCAGGTCTCCAGCTAGGTAAGCTTTGCCTGCCTCAAGTACCTGGCCAATCTTGAAGAATATGACTGGTGGACAGCCAACTAACGTGTGAAGGCTCAAACTTCCGTGATCTTTGACGCATTCTCGTACTTCAGTGGAGTAGGACAGCTTTTCGGCACCGCTAAACCCTCGCAACATATCCAACCTCCATCTATTAGTACCGATTGTAAGCACCACCGGGGATTAGACTTACCACGACAAAGCTGAGACAAGAAACATGGATGTTCCCGAACGCTTGGGTGAGGTATCGAGGCAAGCGATTCGTTTGCAGAGGAACGATACACCTGTCAAGTGAGCTCCATGTGTTGAGACGCCCGATTCACAGACCTATCACGATGTCAGCAGCTGCCTGGCATAGAATGTAAGGAAGCTATGCCATACGTCATGTAGAACGAGAATCAATACCATAGCCAGAACATGCTCCTCTTCGGTGGGCGTCAATCGTGAGATATCTTCCTTTTGCAGCAGAGAAGCAAGAGATCGTATTGCTGATAGTCTATACCCAAGAGATAACGTGACGAGTCTCTGATTGTTCGCGTGTCCAGTATTATACATATGACATGCCGATAACCCGAGTAGCGCATGCAGAATGCCTTGATGCTGGTAAGCAAGGGGCAAGACATACTCTCGGAATGGGTTATCCAATCCCGGTACATGGATGATGAAATGCTCGCTTAGCGTTTGGTCGACTTAGATATCTGTTAATACATGGGTATCCCGGTGCTTCAAGAGTCTTACAGTAGTCAATGATATGTTGATTCGTCGCAAAGTCGTTCTCTAGGTCATGTTGTGCGGAAGGCGAGATACTAAATGACACAGCGTCTGGCGATAGTGATAGGGTCGCTGATGTTTGTGGCGATGTCAAGGTCAACGCTGACGTCTCAAAGACAGGGTATTCCGGCGAAAGCGAAGCCGACAGTCTTGTAGCGACGAGCTCAGATGGCATTGACGACTCTGGAGACTGGCTTAAGATCACTGGCTGTGAAGGCGACGTATCAATGCTATCTGAGGTCGCATGTTGCGAGCTTGACTGATTGGGAGCAATCGTCAATGTCTCTTGGAATTGAAACCGCGGAGGATATCCTTCACAATGAAGACCTTTGGTGCGACATCTATCACATATAGGACGTTTCCGATCGCACTTTCGACACTTCTTGCGACATGTTCCGCATGCTGGGTCTGGAGCAAGATTCTCGTTAAAATTGTTTAAGGTAATGAGAGAGAGAATTAGTGCTCACCTTTGCGACGGGCAGTTGGGCGGTTTGAGGATGGATTATCACTACCTGTCATTATTGCTGTGTGTATTACCAAATTCAGTAATAAAAGACGATGGTGGAGCGAAAGAAAAGATAATCGAGAGGATGAGAGTCGGTATCGGAGTTGTTGGTTTCTTAGTGGGGTCATCCTCAATCTTTTAGGTCATGCCGCCTCGTTGTCATCCGAGCCGATGTATAAGGCTAAAGCCCGCACTCGGAGAAGTGGGACAACTTTCCAAGTACTGAAGTCGATACATACAAGTCATTATTTTTCCTAATATTCATCTTCTAAAAGTCTGAAGGACCTTTCTCAAGCTCTGGTCGGAGCAGGTATATCGGATCTGTCTGTTCTACATAACCGCACGCCGGGTCGCTCATATAATAGCCCATAAACGCCTGTAGATCCTGGTCGAATTTCATTGCTACTTCTCTAGGAACAGCCAGAAACTGATTTTCTTCCTGTCTTAAAAAGCCACGAATGGAAAAGGTAGCAAAGACTAACCGGTACTGGTCTTTGGTGGAGTTGGTACCTCCACCATGATACGCTGAAGCAAGCATGATGAATGCATCGCCCTTAGCCATCTCGGCAAAGATGCAATCTTCAACACGAGGAGGACCTCGTTCTGAGCCCCTGTCGTTTTTCAGCCGGGTCAAACTTATGAGAGGTCGAGGAATTGTACTGACCATAGATGACTCCCTTGGATAAACTGCGTGCCCCCATTCTCCTTCATGACCTTTGACCCGGCAACAAATAACCCAACAGCAGTCTCACGATTGGCATCACGCTCATCATCCCACTTATCAATATCTGTATGGATGTTGTGACTGATATAGTCATCACGGTGAAGCGGCTGCGCCTTGCCTCCAGGTCCGATTCTCATAGCAGTACATGAATGCAGGTAAGGTTTCGAAACCGACTCCTTCCGTTCAGGACCCCACCAGAACCAACTTCGCGTAGTGAGAAAATGATCGACGACTTGCTGATAGACCGGGTTCATAACCTGGGTCCGGGCGTATGTAGGGCTGAGAGCAAGGAGGCTTGGCGCCCGTTGCGTCTCCTCTTAAGCTCACATGTTAATTCAGTCGCACTAGTACTTATGGTAAAGAGGACTTACTAGGGAAGAAGTTGCCCGACCATTCAACATCGGAGTCCAAACGCGCTCGACACTCATCATATGCCTTATCGACATCTGCCTCAGATATCAGTCCCTTGACAAAAACACCCCCATCACGCTTGAGGAGCGCAATGATGTCTTGGATGGGAGCATCTGCAGAGACTCTCTGCACTTCGGGGCCGTACTTTTCCAAAACGGACATGGTGGATAAGAAATATGCAACGTAAGCAACTCGGTGCTTAAAATACTCGCTAAGAATAGCTATTGGGCTATCTGGCAAAGCGAAGGGGAGGGAGAAAGTTCTTGGACCTGAGAAATGATTGTTCGAGTATGAGTGGAACTCTTCAAAGCGGAGACTCCGACAAGTGGAGGAGCTGGGAGTATTTCCTGTTCTGGTAAGACCGAAAAATACCCCATTCGGAAATAACATGACAAACAGTCGAATCCGACTCCGAGTAATCCTCCAGCTTGAGTACTTCTCCGATTTCACGTTGCATGTCCACCTATGGAGTTCGCTATATAGACTCGAGGCCAGTTACTTAGGAGACAACATAATGTGAACTAAACCTACTAGTCTATTGGCCAATCATTAGCTATGGATCGTTACGTACCTTTACTTCGAAATGCTATACAGAGCTATAGGATAAGTCCGTGTTTATGGTCACCATACACCCACTAATGCCTAACAAAACTTCTTTAAGTTGGCTCAAATTATAGATCATAGTTAATTTTCTCGTGGTGTTATGACCAATGCACAATTGGTATGTAGAGAGATACTGCGTCCAGACGGAAACACAAGGTCATTGGCCTCCCTATGCCAGCCATCTTAGAGCGATATCATCTCGCAAAAGATTAGAAATAAACCCGCATGGAAAGGTTTGACTCAATAGATCTTCTCTAGAATAGAATATAACAATTAAGATTCTGCTAGGAATCATAGTTTCTTTGCTGTGTTGATCACCTTGATAGCAAGGAAATGCACAAAAACTTAGAAACTCCCTGAGTGAAAATAGGACTCCAGTAAATCTAGCATAGCTTAATCGGCCTTAAATTATTTCAGCATTCTGATTTAAATGCGCGTAATTCGCTTGCTCACCAAGGGCTGGCTGTATTCTTCCAATACCATTGCGCTGATATCTCAAACGGCGTCATAACACAATTTGAAGCTATTCCCGGAATCTCTCACAACGCCCGCGCCGATCCCGTGCGAGTCCGAGAAACGTCCGCCCAGGACATTATGCCTTCCATAATCTCCCCTTTTATCATTCGCTGTGATTCACGCGATCGATTGTTTAATATTTTCAATCCGAGACTACCTCATAAATCCGACAGAAGCGAACATCCTTATCCTAATCGAGTAACCCTCTCTCCCGCTTCCCTCGCTATCTCCGCTCGCGCTTAATCACCAGCCGCGAAACCTTATTATAAATCAGCAGCTCCCGCTAGTGGCTGGAAGGCCAAAGCGGACTAAACCGATCTCGATGAAGATCACCAGAATTAGCAACGGGCATTCGGGTAGCGATGGGCATTTCAGGCGCGAGTGTTGCACTTGTGTAGGTCGAGACGGTAGACAACGTTGTCTCCGTGATAATGCCGCCCATGGTTTCACTTGCTGTGTTCCGTGGAGTTAGGCCACGGAACGCCGAGATTCCTCATGCGGGCGGCCTCAAACGCCTTGTGTGAGGTACGAAACGGGTATGACATCGCCGCATCGTCATCGACTATAAGAGTCTCAGTTCGTCCTAGTAATTGATCAGAACAACAACCTTCCAAACCAATTGCATCTGAAAAATCATCACTCTTCGACTATTACCCACAATGGCATTTGACTCTTCTCTCAACGGTAACACTTCGCGCCGGCTGTTACTCAAAGGCGGCACTGTCCTTGTCCACGACGCCAATGACAACGTCCAAGCTCTGGAAAGAGACATCCTCATTGAAAACAACCGAATCTCCAAGATAGCCGAGAATATTAGCGGCATCACTGACGCTGAGGTGATTGATTGCACCGACAAGATCATCTCACCTGGCTTCATCGACACGCACCATCATCTTTGGCAGACCCAGCTCAAGGGACGACATGCAAACGAACTACTTCTCGATTACATGGCTTCCGGCAATCTCCAATCTTCAAACTATACGAAAAGTGATATCTACTGGGGGCAACTTGGAGGTTCTCTCGAAGCAATCAATGCAGGCACCACCACTGTCGTTGATCATTCGCACGTCAATGTCTTTGCTGGAGCTGGTAAGTCACATGGTCTCTCAATCTCCTAGCATACCTAAGCTAAGCGCCACCACTTTCAGCCCCAACTGCCATCTCAGCCGTTGTTTCCTCTGGTCTGCGCTGTGTCTATGGCTACTGCCCAACTGCTCGCGTTGCATCATGGTCACCTTTTGCAATGAACTCTGATATGCTTGCACCGTGGGTCATGGACGAGATCCAGGAGCTAGGCAAGAAGGCTCCCTTTGGCGACGGACTCGTTACTATGGGCCTGGCTTTTGATCTCTGGTTTCTGCCAGAACAAGTCGTCAAAGACCTATTCGACCGTGCCCGTGAAGCTGGTATCGAGTTGGCGACAACTCATGCTGTTAGTAACCCACAGATGGGATCTTATGATCTCGTTCAGCAGATCAAGAGCCTCGGCTTGTTAGACAATCGCATGCTCTTCAGCCATCTCAACGGATATGCCGTCGAGAGCGTCAAGGACCTTGCCGATGCTGGAGCACATATTAGCAGCACTCCCTCCACTGAAATGCAAATGGCCCTCGGAGATCCCGTGTGCTTGAACGATGACCTTCCCCAGGCTCAAGCCCAGTCTAGTCTAGGCATCGACTGTCACAGTAACCAGGCCTCTAGCATAGTATACGAGATGAGACTGGGCTTGCAGGGCTCGAGGGCCAAGCATAACCAGAGACTGATCGACCAAGATCTAGCCCCTCGCAAGATCTCCAAGACAGTACAGGATGTGTTCAATCTAGGGACAATTCAGGGTGCCAGGGCGATTGGGAGGGAGAGTCAACTTGGCAGCATTGCTGAAGGCAAACTGGCCGACTTGGTGATTTTTGACGCCAACACTCCCGAACTAATCTGTGCTGCTGAGCAAGACCCCATTGCAGCCGTTGTCTTGCACAGCAGTATCGGAAACGTCGACACAGTCATCGTCGATGGAATTATTCGAAAGCGTCAAGGCAAGCTTGTTGGTGTGACCGTGGAGGAAAGCATGGCGGATGTTACCGATAAGCGCTCTTTGGAGTGGGCGGATGTTGCTAAAGCGATGAGAAAGTCTCGCGCTGAGATTCTCCAGCGCGAAGCAGAGAAGCAGAACCTGGATGATGTTAAGAAGGGAGTGATCAGCAGCTTCAATATTGACTTGTCAAAGCTGAGGGATTGAATGATCAGACCATTCAGACATGTAGAACACCATTAAATAGAGTAGTTTAAAAAGTATCAAGACATTACTCGATCATAAATGGAGCGCAGGAAATAATAGTATCGGAATATGAACTATACTTGGTGTACAAAGTCGAAGTGGGAACCATTGCGGCTCCGAAAGACCTCGCGTCTTAATGTCCGCGTTATAGCTCGTCCTGTTAATCAAGATCTCTTAGTGCGATCTTCTATGACGGTTCATGTACTACCATCACGATATCCGAGATTGCATCTTTTAATCCACCGAAAGAAGTGCCTTACGAGGGGAACCCGCTCCGTCGTACGTCGGTGTTACCAGAGTGCTGGTTCTCTCCCGCTGGTGCCGGAATCGAGCGGCTCCGGCCATAGTTCCGCCGATCGCGACCGCCTCTCATGAATACCGAACCGACTACAGTAACCAGGAAATTTCTCTCAGTAGATTAATTCAGGGCTGAAAAAATTCAGTATATGCCATGTCACAGGTGCCTCAGCTTTGGTGCATCTTGAGAAGCCTGATATTTGGCAATGCCTGCCAGTAGAAAGGCTCTGACAAGGGGGACAACATGGCCTGGGAATAGCACATGTTTAGCTCGTTCAACATAAATTAATCAAGGAAAGTTTCTGGGGGAAAAAGCTTTTAGTTAAATCCGTGTTAGTATCAGAGGGTTTCTTATAGTGAGATAATGCTGAGGAATATTGCGGGTTTCTCCAGACTTCATTCTGGGGTAACTTTGCTTTTTCTGAGTAATCACAAACTCTCTCCACGATGTGATAACGCAGGTAATTTCTCGTTTCCCCGAACGCCACATTCAATCTTCATCTCATCTCACCAATAAACCGCCTGATGAGGCCTGTCGTACTAATACCCATGCATCAGCGTCAAGCAGCCACAATTCACCGGTCGAGCGGAGCCGCATCTTAGCGCACGATTTACAACAGGGCCATCACATCCTTTAGTCCAGAGACAGGGGTTTGTTACGGAGCCATCTTTCTCACTGTGAATTATCTATGTTATTGAATGCATTAATATCGTGTACGTCTAATTATTTCTAGAAGTCAAAAGAGTGTTTGCGCGTCGGGTATATAGTGTGCCGCTGTGATGTAACCGTGAGGGGTATCCGTGAAGACAATCCAAATCTAAAATACTAATTCAGAAAAGGCTCATCGATAAATGTTGAGCTATTCAGCGGGAAATGGCAGTGGTTCCCGCTTCAAGTGCCGGGTAGAACTTGACTCGCTCTCAAGATCATCGTAATCAGTACGATCTCGATTCTCCTTAACAACCTCGATCTGTGTAGTCTTGAAAGTTCTGGAAACCTGGATGCCGTCTTCCTTCCTCTGAGGCAACTCGATATCATTGCCACCAGCTTCAATGAAAGTCTGATTGTTGCCCGGAAAGACGGAGCCCATCTTCTTTCCAGTGGTTGTCTTTCCGCTCTTTTGACCGGAGCGAGATCGTGAATCGGAGTAGTCGTAGCCATTGGGATTGCTGGCCTTAACGACCTTGGTGATGAGTTCGGCCATGTTCATCTCGATGTGAAGCTTGACAAGGTATGTCAGAGGATGGAATTGAAGGTAGACGATATCATTGGGAAGAGACATCATTGCGATCAGCAGGACCTTGTTCTGTCAGTAGAGTAGAGTGACACTTATATGCAGTTGACTTACATCCATTGTCATCGAGACAGCAATCATGAACAAATTGACACGGTATAGTCGAGTATACTTGGTGAGGCCATTGGCGATAAGGCGAGATCGAACGAGGTAGATGAAGTAAAAGTTCAAGCCAGCATCGACGATCAAGAAGATGCATTTCTCAACTCTATCCCAGACGGCATTGACAGCAATCCATTTGGGACTGATCTGTAATCGCGCAGGGATCCAGACACAGAAAACACTGATATTGATGGCTAGAAGAACAAGGAACACAATGAGTTTGAGCTTCCATGCATTGTGTCGGTTGACCATGAGGATCGAGATTCGGTTGATGATAATCTGTAGCAACGACTGGATCTGAATGGCCCAAAGAAGGACTTGAGGGACGTTAGACTTAGGCCAAGTGAGACCGGATCCGACGACGGATACATACCAATGACGAAGAAGACTGGGAAGCCCGGTGGAATGTATTGTCGAAGATACAACCATGTAATGGCGCTCATAATCACACTGCTCGTCCATTCCATCCATACCAGGACAAGATAAATATTCGTCCTCGTCCCTCTTTTCCACGATTTTATCGTCTGCTTCGCAGCTTTCGTGCCCGCAAAAATCGACACGCCTAGGGAGAACCCCCAAGCGATACTCGCAATGTTCATATCATTGGTACTGGGCTTATGAAACTCATAGTGATCCGACAACAAAAGGCCACCCATCTTAGCGGGTTAACGAACAAGGAATGTCGATGTAAAGAAGAACAAGAATGCAGGGACTTTTAGACGAGAATTCCTTGGTGCATATATTTGAAGGAAAAGGTGCAGACACTAGCTCGACTCAGGGGCCACGAGGAGGCGTTGCATCCGTTAGAGCGCACTCTTGCGTCTGAGCCTGGTCCTGGCTGCCTGGACGTTGCGCTTATGCACCGGGATACGGACCGCTGAAGATCCTTTGTGTGGGAGGTTGCAGCCCAGTTGTCCGGACCCCCTGATGCTCAATCTCTTTTGGGAGTGTTATGACTACAAGGTACCCCGCGATGTGTGATGTTGGTTACAGGCGTGCATGTCCCCGGGTCAATGAAGTTGAATCAGGCCACTTGAGGATTTCCTCATGGTCTATGAGTTTACCTTCTGATCAACGTATACATCGACATATCGCCTTCATTACCGTCTTTTCCATTTTTTGTCAATGGCAGATTTGATCATTTAGTTCAATCACTAATCCGTATCTAAAAGTCATTCCCAATCATCACTATTGGCAATCCTGCATACAAGACCCTGGGCGAGTATTTGCTTTTGCGGCTCCGCATCTTAGCGTCCATTGACACCCAAACGCCTGGAACAGAATCCCAAGAACTTAGCCTTGATTAACTTGCACTAGGCAAAAGGGGCTTATCTAGCAGCAATTCGTAAAACGTGGTGTTGGGATGATTAGAGACGGGACGAACTGATCCCGGACAGAAGGTAATACCTAGATAGTTCGTGGCTCAAGCCTCATCGCGTGGTGTTGTCAAAATACCATGTGCTTACCCTGGTCAATGCTGAGGGTTCGGCTCCGCGGTGGATACGGGCCTCAGCCCTGAGAGTGAGACGCGAGTCAATCTATCGAAGCTTATTTTTTGCATAGTCTGGGTTGTTACAAATGTCGCTCGGGAGAAAAATGGAATATTTGCGATACGAGATGTAGATCCCAATGTTATTTCCCTAGCCTGCGGCTCAGATAAAGTGTTTTGGGTTGGTGTTTTTGCGGCTCAGCCAACACTTGAATGAAGCCAATCGGAAGATTTGGACAAGACCCGGATGCCATGTAGTTTAATGTTCCAGAATTGGCAAGCCTGACTGAATCATCAAATTTTTGAAAATGATAGTGCTTACGTTGGGTAAAGTATCGGACACAATGTACCTCATCACTATGACGCGATGCAGTTGGCGCTTGAACCCAAGAACCAAGACGTGACGCCCAATTCCTTCATATGCATCATTCATACAATTGAATTGTTTCAAATCATGCACAATCACGTTCAATTTCTCTAAAGGACACTCGATATGAGAAGTCGGTGACAAAGCTTTATCTTTCAGATACTAGATATCGCTGCATAATCCGTAACGCCTTAGTTACCCTTCACACGCTGGTCAGGGCTGCCATCCTTCTTCAGGCCACCGTGCTCAGTGGGCTTGTAGTCGCCACCGCTGCTGTCGGAGCTTCCAAGGCCCTCGCCGGAGCCGGAAGTCTTTCCGCCCTGCTCGCCGGCCTTGTGGGGGTCGACCTTGCCGTGGGCGAACTCGCCGGTGCCGACACGACCGTCAGGCTGACCGTCCTTGCGGAGGCCGTCATGCTCTGTAAGCTGTTAGATATTGCGGTGTGGAGGAGAGTGGAATGGGAGATGTACCAGTGGGCTTGTAGTCAGACATGATGAAGTAGTTGTTGGTGGTGTTGAAGGGTTGTGAAGTTGAGTTGCTTGTGATTGATGATGAGATTGAATGCTTGATGATGAATTGGAAGCACAACTGGGAGATTTGTCCTTCTTTTATAAACATCGATCCTCTCACATCCATCTAGCAAACACTGAGACATACGAACTTATTGACGTCATGGATCGAATAGATCGGGCTGTTTGTTCTCTGTTCTTCACCGTAAGTATGGTCGTAGATGTCATTGACTTTGCTTTGTTCAATTGCTAACGAAATGTCGCACAAGGAATTCACGGTCAGATATTGGTGATCGCCCAATGCTCACCCCGCATTCAGACTAGATGATGATGCGGTGTAACTAACAACAATAGCAGCCAAACCCGGGGTATGGGTCGATTTGCTAAGATATTATCGTTTCAATTGATCAAAATGAAGTATCAGCTTGTCATTGATGAGAGAATCAAGTTAGACAGTCTCATTCACGACAGTAAGGGAGATGTTTGCATGGATCTACTAGTCCCAAAGCACTGTCGTTAGATCTCGCAAACAAACTTATGATGGCATAGACTATTTAGAGTAGCGTTTCTGATTGGCCAGATCGAGCTGCCCCTGAAGTAGCCGCTCACACAGCCCTATCGTAACCCAGACTCTGGCGATCGCCATGCACCATGACACTTGTATGTCCGGCGCATCTCCTCCGGGTGGCTGACGTTCACCGTTAGACCGCTTAGATGTATGCAAGCACTACAGCACAAAGTCTATTCATTAGCGACAACGGATTAACTCCGTGTAAGCTGTTTTGGGCCATTTCACGTGTGCACATGCTTAGTTCAAGGAGGCGCTGTGATCATGCCATTGTCGTCACATATTTCTCCATCTACCCGGGACGTGTGAGGCGCGTGATGTAAGCCATCAGCTGTGGGGTCTATCAACTCAAAATAACACTCTAATCAAAGTCGGTCCGGGCAGTATACCAGCTGCCCAACACAATTGCCTAAGATCTACCCGGGACAGTGCTTCAAGCATGCCAACGCAAGTAGTTTGAGGCCAAACGACAATGGTTTACGAAGGCTTGAAGCATAAGTATCGTTTGGTGTTAATTACCCCAAAATTAGTGGCTGGTCCCCAGAAGATTAAGGTCTACTGCCATTAAAACCTTGGGGAAAGCCCATTGACCGCAATCAAGTGACAATTGCGAATAACAACAGCCTCGACCGCTGACCACAAAGGCCACGTGCATTTGAACTGTCTTTCTATTATGACCGAAAATAGTCCGGTGTTTTTAAGTGTATGTTTGAACCTCATTCTGTGAAATAATAAGCATCACTACCGATGAATTATCTTCAACGTTAGCTGCTGCGCACTCTAAAATGAACGGCCATACTACGACATGAAATCAATTCTGCCTACAGAATATCTTCTTGTTCTTCACAAGATTCTCTGTGGACTGAGTGACACACAATTGTGTGCCAATCTCAGCGATTCCTGACAAGGTGAGAATCATTCGAATAGTCTCACTCGACTTCTCGGATTATCCCGTTATTGCGGTTGAAGCTTGGCATTTTGATTGAGCCAATGACGCAAGGTAGATAATTGTTAAGCGCTGTGAGAAAAGATGTTGAACTCATCAGCCAATGGGGCATCACAGCTCAAATGATCCCTGTCAGTTGAAAACCGGTTCAGAACCCCTCGCTCAAGAATCTGACTGTCGCATTTTCATAGATTATGGGTATCACACAGTATCATGGACCCTTTATCGATAGCGACAGGTTGCGCCACTCTCATTTCAACCATAGGGTCGCTCTCACTGTCCATCAACTCCTTTGTTCGAACTTGTCGCGAGTCTCGGGGTGATCTAGACAGGGTGGCCCGTGAGCTGCTCTCTCTACAAACAGTCCTTGGACTTATCCAGGAAGACGTGACTGATGAGAGCAAGGTCTTTCCTACGACTCTCGGACGCCATGTCTCGGGTATCATCATCAATTGTAATTCTGTGGTCGTAGAGCTACAAGAGTGTATCACGAAATATGGCGTCGATAGTCGACTCAAAACCAAGGCTGGTTGGGTCATCAATGGACAAGGAGATGTCGCAAAATTGCGTTCGAATCTTGAGGCTCACAAGACGGCATTAGAGTTAGCTCTAGATATGTTGTCGCTGTAAGTAAACTCGCAATCACTTCAAACAAGTTGGCCAACAAATACAGGCACATTACCAAAGAGATAAAAAACGACACATCGGAGATTCGGAATGAGACATCGGCGATAAAAGATGATACGACACAAATTTTGGAAGAAATACTCCGCCTTCAAAAACGATTACCGAAGCAAGGAGGAAGCGACTATATCCTTCAAAACTTTCTTGAGGAGATGACGACATATACTGAGAAGGCCTTGGACGGCGCATCCATCGACGGAGATTCCAGCACAAAAGCACCGTCGTCTGTCCTTGAGGCAGAAGGAGGAGTCAAGAGGCCTTCTGATAATGCTTATCTCTCAGACTGGGAGTTAGATTCCGTAGCGAGTGACCCGGTGTCATTCAAGTTGAAGAAGAAGAGATGGGAAAAACAACAGCACGAGGAAAATTTGGCTAAAGCAAAACTGAAAGATGCCCAACGATCGCCCCAGTCTCCACAGCAAAAACCGATCGCTTTCCATCATTCAGGTCACTGGGAACCCTTCCGAGGAAGATGATGACCTAGGTCTAGTACCGCCCAAGGATGCTAACATTGAAGACTGGGAGAGGTCTTCGGTTGAGAGTGAGACTGAATGGTGGGAGAAAAAGAACAAAGAACGGCAAGATCGCAAACGCCAGCTATATTCGGGTGGAGTTCATCGTTTGATCACCTCAGCCCATTCTACATCTTTACGAGAACATTCACAAGGAACGACTGAAACACATGATTCGCATGGTGCGAGAGTTCCTAAGAAGACATCTCAGAGCAGCCCAGCAGAAGCCAGTGATGTCGCCCGGAAACGATATTTCAAGCCAGACCCTGCAAATCATGATAGTGATAATGAGTACTCTCACGATTACGAGAAAGAAGAATCTGAGGTAGCCAACTATCTCTCAAGAAAAGCAACAAAGTCAGAACGCATTCCTCTCTCAGCATCTGCCGCGGTGTCATCAACACCAGACTTCCACTACTTAGAGGTCGAAACCTTCAATGGCAGATTATTGATCAACTGGCCCATGCCAACGGCAGTCACAGATCTCTTGTCTGAAGATTACTACATCGAGTCCTCCTGTAATAGCTTCACGGCGTTGACGTGTTTAGCACAGGATTTTCGTTTCCAGAAGGATACTCTACGACCCAGGCGGTTCCTGAAGCCCAGAGACATCAAACTTGTCTTCTACATCCCCGTGACTACTAAAACTACTTCTTCTTGTTTTAAACGCCAGTGGGAATTCATCACTACTGCAGTCACTGGATTGACACGACGTCTAGAACTGGGTGGTGATGTCCCGCCGCCATGGCACAACATCATCATCGTCGTTGAGGGACCCCCACGATGGGACGGAATTGATCCTGAGATTGAGACTATCCTCACAGAACTTGGTATACTTTATAAGACAGAAAACCTAGTAAGCAAAGTCGATGGCGTTCCACTGGATCCGCCTTATCATAAAGATCATTGCAAGGTCTCTGGCAAAATGATACATGGGACGATACACGAGGTTCGTTCAACACTTGAAGGAAAACCACACGCACCTTGTTCTAACGTCTTTATAGTATACAGTACAGCCAACAATCCGCCCCCAACACGCCTGTACCAAGAACATCATGGGTACCGAACCGCTCCAGGTGATTGCAGTGGCTCCGCAATTGTCTCTCACAGACTGGGCATCTCATAAACCAGCCCTTTCAGCCAACTGGGCAGCAGCCATTTGCGAGGTCTTGAGGCCAGAGTTCATAATGTCTTTGCCAGAACGTCAGATCAGAGTGATACCGTCCCCTGGGGAGTTTCTCAAAGGCGTCTGGACCTGTGAAACACGGTTCAGGATGTCAAAACACAGGCAAATCAACCAATGCGTCTTAACCTCTCCAGATCAGTTCCAAGCGGATCGTAAGAAGATGATCACACAGGCAGAAGGAGCTCGAGGGTTTGCCAGAAGGCTCTTTGGAAAGTCTTGAATCCATAGTCGGTCTCACCCGTCGGTGGCCTGCAAACCTCTCTTCATCGACACGCTCATTGTTGATGAATGAAACAGCTTTATTAGGCTAGGTAGCTACAAGAACACGGGGGCGAAATAGATCTCGCTAGCTTTAAAAAGACCGCTCAGTCACAATCATCAATTGCGAAAAGCAAGGCTTTTTCAATTACGGCCGTGATTCTCCTTTCAAGTGTAAATAGATTCGCATTAGCCACCAGAGCTAACTGGGGTAATCCGTACCCTCACTTCTTGATCTAACCCGAGGCTATAATGCTCATGATGACCAAACGGTCCCTTTGGTACTATGCGTTCCATGTGAATTGCGGGGTAGCTGGATGGATAATCCTGTTTCCTATGCTAAAGGCGGGGTTAATTTGCCTAGACTGACAAAAGTACACGCACAATGACGAGATAATGGCCAACTTAGTCTTCCCACCTAAGCTTAGCATCAGTATAAGTATCGCCAACCATTCGCAAATATCAGTGTTCTCATTGAGTACGGCAATTTCTTCAGAAACCCAACTAATAAATATTCAAACGCCTCAACAGAGCCCTGACAATGTCTGAGCAAAAACAATCCACCCAGTCCTCTATGGACCCAAGCTCCAGCGCCGGCCACAACCCCTCGACTTGTTACGAAGTCGCCAAAGATGGAGGTTCCCTCTCTAATCGTAAAGCCAGTTATGGTATCGGAAGTGAGTCGCTCCGCTTATCCTGAGTCTACTTCATAATAACATGATTCAAGTGGATGCCAACAGTATTGAGGAAGCAAATGCGACTATTGATGCCTATATGGGATATAATCCAATTAAGAAGGAATTAGGCAGGAATTAGTAGCAACTAGGGTACACTTCCTAAGTTTGCTTAATGAAAATGGTATATGAATAACTAATTAGCTATCCAACTTTACAGCCATATTTTTAACTGTAGCGTTAGCAGATGTCGCGAGATCTTCAATCCCCAGCAGTGCAGGGACTTATTCGCATATATAGTGTAAGTTTGCTTGACTCCCCAAGCCTATTATCAGGTTATACTGGTATCTGTGCACCGAAATCCGCTGCCAAGACCTAGGCCTAAGTCAGACCTTCACCAGAGCTACAGGGGGAGAGGGACTTCCATTCGATGGATGCAAAACACGTCCCATGGCGGTATATCGGGGCGGCTTGCCAGACACAACGAGACGTGCATTTTAGACACTCTGTTCAGATATTCGGGATAGGAGACTTCATTGGGCGGAATGGAATGGGCTTGATGGGATGTTGATTGAAGGAGAGACGAGATCTGTGACCGCTGAGGCTCAACCTAATCTGCGTGGACTTGCTGGCTTCAAATGCCATTTCAATTTATTAAAACTTTGAGTTCTCATGGTTTAATCCTGTTTCCTTCCAACGATACCGCCCTTCTTCAAACCAAGCCATACTACAATGGTGACAGTGCTGCAGCTGGCAAAGATGGTCCAAAAGGCAGCCCGATAGCCCTTCATCAAAGCCTCTTGGCGTTCCGTAATTTTAGAATGCTCTGTAACTGAAGCCGCGATTGCAGCAGTGATGGCTAAACCGACAGAGTTGCCAAACTGAGCTACTTCGTTGAAGACGCCGCCAGCGAGTGACTGCATCTCTGGGGGGTAAGCATCAGATATAACGAGGTTCGACACAGTAAACAGTACTATCTCATATTAGCTTGGCCAGATCAAGGCGATTGAGCTTACCATCTGGGTTTACGGGTGAAAGGAACATGGCCCAAAACGGAGCAAGCCAGTAGTTCTCACCGACATCAACGGTCGCCATCAGAGGTGCAGCAACCATTGTCACAAGTGCAGATACAACTGCTAATGTGCGAACTTTGACTTTGGCAATGAGAAAGCCAGTGACGATGTTGACTGCTACACCCATGATGACATGCGGTAGAAACCTCAGGGAGCTTTCTAGAGCCGACAGACCCTCGACCTTTTGGAAGCTACGGAGCTGGGGTCAGCAAGTGATCAATTTAGTCTTTCAGGGGACTCACTATAGCGTTGTGAAATATTCGATACCATTCAGCGAAGCCCAACAAAGGAAGACAGCGATGCAAACTGATGTAAAAGACCGGTTCTTCCAGAGACTGTTGGGTATCAAGGCTGGCTTTCCGCGCTTGACTTGATAGTTCATCCAAAAGGGAAATGCAGCCAACAAAACAATAGCAATTGTCAAAAGCGCGATATTTTGCGGGTCATCCAGTCTCTTGTACGATGATGAGATCATGGCAAGAACATAGAGCAGCATGCCGAGCGCAACACTCATAGTGGTAGCTCCAACCCAATCAATCTCATGCAATAAGCGAGTCGTCCACTTTCGCTCAGAGGGTGTATATACAGAGGGAAGGGACCATATTGCGCCTGTCGAGAGACAAAAGTTGATGATTGCGCTCATATAGTAGGCCCATCTCCAGCCGATCGTATCGGTGAAGATACCTCCAAGAACAAGGCCGAGAGCGTAGCCAAGAGGGCTACCCATGCCGTTGATGGCAAACGCAACATTTCTCCAAGGTCCTTTGGGGAAGGTATTGGCTATCAAACTGACAGCTGTTGGCAAGCACATCGAAATCGAGGCCCCGAGCAGAGTTCGGAAGAGGATGACCTGAATGCCCGTCTGAGCAAGCCCAACGGCCAATGTGAAAGCGACGAAGAGGAAACTCCCGGTAACCCACATCAACTTGGCCCCTACAACATCAGCGATGGCACCAAAGATGAGTAATAGACATCCAGCTGCGAGCGCATACACCGCTGCGGGCCATAAGATGAGGTTCTCGGAAAGGCCAACGTCGTCAGCGATCTTGGGAAGCGCAGCGATGAGAATGCCAGAGCCCATGGTATTGAGAAAGCTGATACCTGCAAGAGTGACGATGACAATCACACCTCTGGTCTTGGATATTCCCAGGCCGCTTGAGTTCTGTGCTCTTGGGACATTTTCTCCTTCGGGGGGTGGAGGGTTCAACTGCGCATCGCTGTCATTGGTATTGTTGACTTGATTGGCTGTTCTTAGCTTCACTTTGGGATCGAGGGGTTCCAAGGGAATGATGCCGCCGTGGATTGAGGCAGCGCCCGTGTCTGTCGTGATATCGAAGCTGCGATCCATTTTGCGCTGTTATACTTGGTGCTTAATGATTGCGACACGAGATTGATGTCAAGATAAGCTCTTTTAGGTAGAATCTAAGGTCGCAGCAATTGATGGTAAGCAGCGTCATAGTTCAGTCGAAGGGCGCGCTTCAGGCTGACAAATGACATCAGTTTACAAGGTTCTAATAACTCAATTAGATCTATCGCAGATCTGAGAAAATCGCCAAGCATTCTTTGGCTCTATTATAGTAACATCATTTATGAGAGCTCGATAACAAGCCATACCCGCGCCAATGGACAGCGAAGCAATTCGGTGACACGCAGAGGCTTTTGGCGCCAGTGCTGAAGTTTCAGTGGGCAACCCCTCTATGGAATGTGGATGGTCTGCTGGGGTCCATTGAAGCCAGTCAGAGGCCTTTAATCATTATCGCGACAGGTGCTCCTATTGGCTGACAAAGAGGCACAACGTATTTAAAGAATGCTGTTTTTATTCTTCTATCATACGACAACCGATGATGGACAGTAGCGCGAACAATCTCGACTATGGATATATGCTAACAACAAAAAAAACACACTCTACGCCTTCTTCAGCGAACCAGCAAGTTGCCCGACCTCGACACCGTTAATCTCTTCAGAAGCCTCGTGCTTCTCTTTCCACTCCTCAACCAATCCCTTGAAATCAGCAGGGAGATAAGGCGAAGTAAGTTCCTGGAACCGGCTTCCCTTGCGATGTGTCTCAAGTCCCATATCCTTCATAAGCATGTTGCAATAAGGCAGACCCTCAAATACAAGATCAGGAAGATCAGCTCCGTAACCGCAAGGGTATCGCCACTTGCCCCATTGGGTGTGAAGCATAATCTCGTCAGTAATCTCCTTCTCAGAAGTAGGAATGCGATCGATCTTGCCGGTGAGGAAAGCAGCAATCCAGTGGCCTTGGATAGTTGCGCATGTGGCTGTGCTGACAGTTGAGATCATACCGGCGAAAGCCAAGTCACGGGTCTTGACCATGCCAGAGGGAATCATGAAGCGGTAGTAGCGAAGGGGGTTGGCTTCCTTGGGCTTGACGTTAAGCTCTGGTTGGTTCTTGAGGCTAGGGTAAAGAGAAAGGACCTTCTCGTCGGCGGCTTGGGCCAAAGAGCGCTTCTTCTCAGTGGAGTAGGGAAGACCGAGCTCATCCTCTGCGAACTTGATAGTAGATTCCTTCTTCCAGCCAGTTGAACAAATAATAGCATCCGTGTCGATAACGTTGCCAGAAGCCAGCACAGCTCGGTTAGGCTCCAACGACTCAATGTCATCGATGTGTACTCTAATCTTGCCCTGCTTAACAAGATCAAACAGAGGGCTGTCGTAGTTCAAGATACTAAGTCCACTACCGATCCAGAAGGCAGAGTGCCAAGGCTTGAGCTTTGCAAGCTCAGGATGAGAGTCATAACCAATAGCGCCAGTTACATCGTTGCTCAAAGTCTTCCAGAAGTTGCTAACAAGGAATCGGCCGACAGCAGTTCCATGGAGGAAGTTTCGCACAGCAGGGTAACCATCTTCTTGGCCCCAAGGACAAGGGCTGAACCATGTCATCCATCGAATGTTGAGCAACTGATCAAGTCGCTTCTTGAGAGGTGTGACGAAAGGAGGGGCGATCCAAACCGGACCATTTCCTGTAGGGCGAACAACCAAATCGACTGTTGCGCCATCTTGAACCAGAGCGTAAGCAACATCAAAGGCAGACTTGGCACCGCCAACAACGATAGCCTTCTTGACGTTCAGGTTAGGAGCCTCCTTGCAGAAGTCCTTAGCGTGGAAGAGAGGAGCACCGAACTTCTCAGCGTTCTTGTACTGGGGCATATTCGGTGTTGATGTGAGACCAGTAGCTAGGACCAATCTCTCGGTAGTGATACTTTCTGTTCCCTCGGGGGAAGTAACACTAACTCTCCAGCCAGCATCACCATTTCGCTCCACCAAGTTCACAGCAGTGTTAAACTGGATTCGGTCGTGAATGTCGTAGTGCTTGGCAAAGTCGGTGAGGTATCGGTGGAGAACTGTTCCGGGGATGTGGCTGTTGGGCTTGACGCCGTATGTCTTCTCGACCATAGGAAAGTCGGGGAATTCGTATGTGCCCTTCATATTGTTGGACTTGAGACCGGGATAGAGACGGTTCTTGGACCAAGTGCCACCGCATGACTCGGCAGACTCGAGAACGGCGAGGTTGGCGTGTGGGCTGATTTGTCTGATGGCTTTTGCGGCGGCCAGACCGAACCATCCTGACTTGTTAGTCGATGATGTCTTTAGAAGGGGGAGTGGGATCCTTACCGGCACCAACAACCACGACATCATATGATTTAGTCATATTGTCTTGATAAGGGTAGAAGAATGAATGTTAAGAGGTAAAAGGCAAGATCGTGTATCCTCTATTAGTTGAAAGAAGCAAGTATGATGATGCAGACAGCCAAGGGGGCGAAATGGGCTTTCTATATCTCTCCAACAACAAGCGTCGGGTATCCCCAAACGTCAGTTTCACTCCAAAACCTCGTCTAATCTCCAACTGACACTTCAGCTGAACCCCTAAAACAAACCAAGAACGTGTCGGAACGATATCTCAACTGCTGTAGAACTGTCGTAAACAAGGAATGCCGATAACACTAGCTTGGGTTCTACCCCAGATTCGACGTTCCGTTATCCCCATTCCGTCTCCACGTATCAATTGCCTTATCTGGGGTAAATCATTGCTACGGAACGACACGATAGCTTCAATAAGTGTTCCGAACCCTGTAAATCACATATCTAATCCAGATTAGTGACGCAGGAACAGATATGACTCGCTGGAGTTGACTCGGTTATCATGCTTAGCTCGAATACTAACAGCGCATCATGCGCCTACGGACTTTCCGGTCGGAAGTTCCGAAACTGAAGCATTTATCTCAGATCTGCGATAAGACTTGTCAAAAGCGGGGTCTGCGATAACCCCTCGTATCATAATCTGGGGTTTACTAACCTTCGGCGGAGTTCCGCTCTACGTACTTCACATTCTAATTTACTATCTATATATTGTTTCTTCGAGCAGCGCCTAGACCACCTTTTACCCCCAGACTCAAAAACCAACCAATCAATTTTCACAATGTACGCCGACATTTCAAAGCCTCCTGCTCCTCTTCCCCAGGCCAAGCCTCAGACTGTTGGTGAGGGGATTACTCTTCTGCCTCCACTTTCGAGACGGGGTCATGGACCTGGTCTTGTTATTCTGAGTCCTGACTCGGAGAAGCATTTGGAGATCATTGAGGGTGTTCCTTCTGCTCTTTTGAAGTGGGCTGAGGAGGGGTATGCTGTTGTTGAGATACAAGCGAAGGCGTTTAACAGAGATGCTGGTGAGGTGTTGAGTGATGCATTGAAGGCTCTGAGGGGTTGTGAGCAATTGGAGAAAGATAGCAAGATTGGACTTATTGGTCAGTGATTTCACATGTTGGTTGGTGATGTGATACTAATTCTCCGACAGCATATGACCCCAAACTATGGAACCAGGTAGCCGGCTCAGTCAACAACTCTGGTCTAGTAGGTGCAGTGATCTACGCCAACGATGCAGACCTTTCAGGCCTTGAGAAATCCAGCATCCCCATGTTGCGCCACATTGCAGGCCGCACAGCCATCATTGAGAGAAGTGATGGCCTCACAGCATACTCATACTCCAGCGCAAAATCTCATCTCATGGCAACACCATTCCAAGATGACTTTGACTACTGGACTGAGTCTCTATCACACACGAGAAACTTGACGTTTCTCAAGCCTCTTACCAACGGCCCCTACTTTGATCTTGAAGCTATCTGGGATGAGCATACCTATTATGAGTTTGCGGACCGCTCGGTTGAGCATACGATGAGCACTATGGTTGATCAGCCATATGTTAACCACGTACCTACAGTCAGTTCACTGCAGCTCCTAAACATTGAAGCTGGTTTGGTATACTAATACTGGTTCAGCTTACGGGTGGCATCGGCCGCAAGTCACTTACAACTTTCTACCGCGATAACTTCATCTTTCAAAACTCAGACGACACCGAACTTGAACTCATCAGCCGCACAATCGGTATTGACCGAGTAGTCGATGAATTCCTCTACAAGTTCACACATAACAAGACAATCGACTGGCTGTGAGTTACCTCAATCTCTCTTCATACCACTTCCACTAATGTCCCAGACTTCCCGGCGTTCCACCAACCGACAAGAAGATGGAAGTCCCCTTCACAGCAGTCGTAAACATCCGCGGTGATCGCCTCTACCATGAGCATATCGCATGGGATCAAGGTACTGTTCTTGCGCAACTGGGCTTGATACCGCAATATCTTCCCTTCCCGTATCCTGTTGCAGGACAGAAGGAGGGTGCCAAGTATGAGTATCGCGTGCCTGTGACGGGCCTTGATACAGCGGCGAAGATGAGGGATAGGAATTCTGTGGCTTCGAATGAGATGTTTAGTTACAAGGTTCGGGAGATTTAGTTAGAGTAGCATTTTGATATTAGCATTAGTTCGGCGTCAATCGATTTCGTTACAACACTAGTGACCTAGGTTTCTTCCCGCGGGTAGTATTCGGTCCCGGCTCCCGAGATATGACGACAACTTTGCCCCACTTGGAGGCTTTCTTCCTTGGGCGCTCGAGAGTCGAGAGTCGCATGCTGTTGAGCCTCAATAGCCGTGGAGGAATAGCCAATTGAATCAGTGAGTGGTATTGTATGATGAGGCAATTAGAAGATCAGGCTGGTAAGTTTTGCTATTTGCGACATGACAAAGCACAAATGCTTAGGGATAAAATCTGAGATTTCGTCAAATCGCCGTGTGATGACAAATTCACCTTGAAGGGCTTTGGTATATCATCAGTGCGACATTGTAGATTGTCTCTGCCTACCACAACCATTACAACATCCTCACCAGCAGTATAAGGCATTGCCACCATTAATGACTATGAGGCGTTTATGCTTCCAGGTGAGCGCCTTCACCTGCATCCTTTGACTCGGCCATGCCGTCAAATGCGATAAACTGAATCAGCTACCCTGAACCCTCCCAACCAACCAATGCAGCGGATGCTCTTCCGAAACCGGGATGGAATGATAAGGGTCTTTCAAACCGATAATGTCTGATTGGCCCCAGACCGCTCATGTAAGCAGTTGGCCACCGCCTAAACCGCATCGATAGAAGTCCTCTACTTATCTCCGCAGCTAAAATTATGGGAGATAAGAAGTAGAAGCTTAGCCTCGCCGATCTCAGTCTAGTCCGGTTTACCCCGCATGGGTCCAAGGTGAAGACCGACGCTAGTCAAGATTGACCCAAGATAAATAATCAACGCGGTGTTTCTTCGCCTTTTGCCCCCGAGTTTCCGCCTCTCTCTCCTCTGACCCGACCTCCGACCTATTCGACGAATATTAAATGAAACGGCAGACTCAATTGACCGGCTATACTGGGAAATTTATCGACGCGACGCGACAAAGGGGCACACGGGACCCCTGTTTCAGCCATGGCCCAGGCACGTGAACCCAAAGGAGTTAAGAAATCCAGCACTTCAACCGGAGAAACCGGGAAACGGAGGACACCATATGCTCTGCGCGCATGCGACGCATGTAGACGACGAAAGGGAAAATGCGACGGGCGACAACCATGCAGACACTGCTCAAGCCGAAACCAGAATTGCAGTTACAGCAGCAGTCTTGAGAACAACAGCTCCAGTCTTGACAGCGACGATTGGCCGCACCCCGCCACAACGACAGCAGCGCCTCCAGCACCCGCCATCACTGACCCGATACCTGCGACTACGAACCATGACTGTGCGACGTCGGGGACTTCATGCCAGACGAACCAAGCTGCGATCGTTGACATGCTCTCTAGTCTTCAAGAGCAATTGAATAGTTTGGCGTCGCAAGTGAAATACTCGAGTAACCAGGAACAAACAAATCTTCCATCGCCCATGACGATGATTGCTGCGACACGGCCCCGCGATCCTATTCCCAACACAAATCCCAATACAATACCCATCATCAGTCACAGCTACACTGAATCCACCACGGACGATCAGAGCTCAACGCCAAAATCCTCTCGAACGACTGCCTCTCAACATTTCTACGGCCCAACATGTCCAGACTACGCATTGAACGTGGGACAATTAAAACTCCGACGGAATAGCTTGCCCGGTCCACCGCTCCAACAAAAGCAATTACAACTTGCCAGTATTCACGAAGACGATGCGTCCGATGAGGCCGATCAGAACGACGGGCAGAATACACAATTCTCTGTATCGCCGCGCACAATCGACAAAGGCGACCCAGCTATGCTTTTGACATTCCGTTCAATCATGGGGTTGCAAGAGACCACTCAGCTTTTGTATATTTATCAAGAGGTCGTTGGCGAACTTCATCCCGTTGTTGATATCGATACGCTCATCATGCAGACGCGCTCGTGGTATGCTGAAGCTGGTGCTGGAATATGGGATGTTCTTGCGTCGAGCACTGGGGCTGCTACGTACGAGTTGTTATTAATATTGAACCTGTGCTTGGCTATTGCTTTGAGGGCTGATGGAAACCCGTCGAGCTCGAATACAGAGACTTTATTGAGGGATAGCTTTCAGGATGCTGTGAATGCGAAGCTGGCTGCCCCTGCTAATAGTATTCAGCATGCGACCATCATATTCCTCAAGGTATGGTATTGCCACTATCGTGAATGAAATATTTACTAATTGAAACAGGGCTGGTATGACTTCTTCCAAGAGATGCCCCGTTCAGCTTGGCGCATGTGCGGCATCGCAGGTCGCATGCTGATGGAACTCGGTCTTCACAACGCCGAAGTATTCAGACATACCGTCAAGACCGAGGCTCAACGAACAGAAGCCTGCACTTTGATCAGCAGTATTGTCATTCTCGATCGGCAATGGAGCTACGCAACTGGTCTACCGACACACTTTCAAGACAAGAGCTTCAGCTCCGTATCTACATCTTCCGTCAAGAACCCATACCTTAAAGCCATGCTCTCTTTCATCCTTATAAGCGATCGTTTCAGTGAACCTATATCAAACGCTGCCAAAGGCGAAGGCTATAACGATGAAAACTCATTTGAATTGATGAGCTTTCAGATCGAGCAGTGGAGAAAGAAGGCTGTTGGCGATTACACCGTTGCAAACTGTCAAGCATGGCATACAGACCCATCGACCCGTCCACCAACATGGACGATCCTACTAAATCTCCGAGCGGAATCCGTCCGGAGTCAACTCCTCAAACCCTTCTTCTTCTCCGAGTTGGATATTGAGATTACAAAGAACCACGTTCGATCAGCAACTGATCGAGTTTACGATATCATTCATGTTTTACACACGCTGGACGCGACTACAGATCTCTACCGCAAACAACACCCATATTACCAGCATATTCTCGCATGCACCGCTGGTCTAGCATTTCTGCTCATCGCTTTTATAAAACAAAATAGAGTAACAATGCTTCCAACCCTCACTCCCGAACTTATCGAATCTCTCGGCGGCAGTTTCAGCATGTGCGTGACTCTCACGACAAAATACACGCACCGCTCGCGCTCCGCACGTCGTCTCGCCAAGCGTCTTATCGAGATGCGACGCAACCTTCTCAGCCTGGGTATTCTAAACCCAGCGAGCCCAGGAAGTCATGAAGGTCTAGATAACGTCACAGAGTCAATCAGAAGAGCGAGTCTTGCGCAGCCAGTTGGAGATTTCCAGCCTTATGCGGAGTACTCGCCGCCTTTTAATAATGGGGTCGTTCCCGGGGGATTTGTGGCTGGGACAGTAATTTCGGATACGGATATGCAGATGGGCTGGGAGGATTCGCTAAGGTTGCAGTGGCCGATTGGGGACGTTAATCACATGTTTTCGGAGAGTATATTTTGATTACTATTAGCGCTAGGAATGAATTATGATGATTATGATCCCGCAGCCGATGATTTGCTGTTCCATATGATCGCAATGATAGCGGGTATGGGGTTCAGGAACGGATACGGGCACTTTGCCGATTCCGGGTGCAGTATCCGCATCGCGGGCCGCTGGCCAGCTGAAGGCTTATCACTTGAGGCTCATGGCGGGAAAGGTATCTCAATCATCTGATAACAACTGACTTGGCTATCAATTGTGCTAGTTGCCAGTTCGCGATACGATTGAGTGATACAGCGTGAAGATCGAGACCCGTTCCGACTCTTTTATCAACGATGCAGCTGCATGTGATGGAACACGTGGTTGAAGGCCGAGGTTTCAAGTTGAACAAGTTATGTTTGGGGAGATAAATAAAGTCAATTTGATATAATTCTTAACGCTAAACTCAGCCTAGTTGTTCTCATAACTAATCAATCCGTCAATAGTACCAGCATGCAATCCGCCAGTAATCGGGATATCCGCCGCAGTAGTATGTCTCGCCGCATCACTCAACAAGTAAATAACCGCCCCCGTGAGATCATTCTGTGTACTCAGTCTCTGATTTGGCGGCGCCAACCACATTTGCTCTCCCTCCCTCTTACTCTTAAGCTCACGAACAGTCCTCGTCATCTCAGAGTCTACAAATCCTGGAGAGATGGTGTTCACCCTGATACCCTTTGGTGCTAGCTCAACAGCCAAGGCTTTGGAGAGCATGAGGATACCGCCCTTTGAGGCGTTGTATGCCGCCATACGGTAGCCGGGAAGGCCGATGTGTGCGGATTGGGAGGCGAGGAGGACCATGCTTCCACCTGTGCCTTGCTTGACCATTTGGCGGGCCGCAAGTTGAGCTACAAAGAATGTTCCTCGTACCTATCCCTATTAGTCTAGTCCATCGTGGCAGACCGGATAGCTTACATTGATGTCTTGGATGCGGGTAAACTCCTCCCAAGTCTGATCCAGGAACGGCTTATCAATAGCGATACCTGCAGCGGGTACAACACCGGCGATAGTCTCAAATTCCTTCAACACCCTGTCGAACGCCGCATTGATGCTCTCCTGTGACGTAACATCGGTTTGGATGTAAACAGTCTTGGCGGAGAACTTCTCACTCAACGTGTTGAACTCGGCAGTAGGCTCTTTTTGGATATCTAACACCGCAACATTGCCGCCCATTTCGCAAATAGCTCGTGTGCAAGCGAAGCCAATGCCCTGAGCTCCACCGGTGACGATGTAGTTTCGTCCGCGGAGCTCAAACATGGGACGAACATCTTGGAGAGCGTCTGTAGCCATATTGATCTCGAGTGGGTATAATTTGAGGGTAATAGTGTGATAGTCAGTTATTCTGTGTAGCCTGGGTGTATTTGATGACAGTATTCCTTATAAATGCCGTAGCTACATCATCTTATCGGCTCTGTACTTATCATCTACTGAACGATTGCCGACCCCGGAATGTGGATAGTGACCCACCTTCCGGCCTTCGGAACGGTCACGGACCATTCCGTTTATAGCAAAGGTCCAAGCTGAACCGGTTGATCATGAGACAGTTGTTATCAAATAACTGATTGGAGTAAGAGGAATTATCGTA